TTAACAGGATGGAGGTGATAATCATAAAAAGACTGGCTTGTAGTTTTATTGAAGTGTTGATGTTGCCCATAAACTGGTGAAGCAAGGTATATATTTTCACATAAATAAAGACAAACTTTGTTTAAGCCTTAAAACTTCCCAACTCCAAGGCTAATTCAGAACTAAGGACATGTTTCCATGGTAACTACCAGAGGTGAGGACTCGAGTCACATGACTTGACTCGAGTCAGACTCGAGTCGCATATTTTTTGACTTGAGACTTGCTTGACTAACATTGATAAAAGACTTGACTTGACTTTGACTTGGTATTCATGACTTGAGACTTGATTTAAGCTTGAGACAGATGACTTGAAAGGACTTGTCTGTTTAAAATTAAATATTTGCGTTTGTTTTTGTCGTGAGATATTACGTTTAGTTTTTTCGAAAAACGTGATTGGGTGATTATAGCGCCATGCGCGCAAACCTGGCAACCCACTAGACGGCAGGAGTGTCAGTTAACATGGCAGCGGCTAGCGTTACTCCAAAAATAGTGAAGTTTGGATTCAAGAGCCGCGTTCACACCGGAGTACTTTTCACCGTACTTTTCGCGTTTAGTTCCGTGAGTACCCCTTATGTCGCGTTCACACCAAAAATACTGGGATTAAGTATATATGTATATATATATATGTATATATATATATATACATACACATATATATATATACATATACATATATACACATATATATATACATATATACATATATACATATACATATATACATATATATATCATGCAACTGTGTTGATAAATGGCATTTTAAATGATTTTTTGTGCTTAGAAGTTGGATAGCTATATTCAACTATGCTGGTCAACACGTTTTTGTAGAAACAGGGTATATGCAGGAATCCTGAATCAAATTTAATACATTTTAAGACCTCATCGCCACTTTGAGTTTTAACCGGTTACATTGGCGACACACTTTACCTCACATTTACTATATAGTACAGCGGATAAGCTCTCATATTATAACAATTGTGCATTTTATGAGAAAAGCATGACATTTCTAACATAGTTAGAGCATACCATAAGGTTTATTTTCAGATGTGGAGGGAAGTCAGATTTGACCCGTGAGGACCGTGAGAGGTCAAATCCAAGATGGCCACCAGTCTCTCGGGTCAAATGTTCAAACACGCTTAATTTTGGAACCAAACATTGTAGAAAAACATTTAAGGTGTCATATCCAACTAAATTAGGGATGCCCAATCATTTGGTGATACTTTTGAGATCGCCAGAATTCAAGAAAATGAATTTAGTTGAAGATAAAGGTAGAAATTGACCAAAAATAAGGTGTGTGTGTGTGTGTGTGTGTGTGTGTGTGTGTGTGTGTGTGTGTGTGGGTGGGTGGATCCAACTAAATTAGGGATGCCCAATCATTTGATGATACTTTCGAGATCGCCAGACTTCAAGAAAATGCATTTAGGTGAAGATAAAGGTAGAAATTGACCAAAAATTAGCTGTCAATCAGTTGAAATTTGCAAAATGTGTGTGTGTGGTATATTCCAGTGGATTTATGGTCACCCAGCGCTAGCATTACTACAGAGACTGGAGGAATATGGCTTTACTTGGCACAGTCTGCATGCTGATGAAAACATTTGTTTTTGTCTTCAAATACATACTAACATGATTGTGACGAGCATCATATTTGTTCCCCGCCCAACTCTCTAAGTCTAAGTGCTTGAACTCCGTGACAGGAGGATGAAGTATGTATAAATGGATGGAACTATCAACAAAACAGCGTTTTATTCCCCAATGTCATATTTAATAGAAAAATAATAATAATAATGTAAACCAAAGAGGGAGATGGAAAACAGTTCCATGTAGAGCACAAACAGCTCTCTTAACCCTCGCTGTTAACAAAGGGCTGCACTCAACTATAAGGTTCACCGCTGTCCCTTTCCACTTATAGAGGGTTGGGGTTCGATTCCCTGCCTGTCCACCTATAAAGCCAAGGTAGCGCAGCTTTTTTTCTGTTCTTTAGTGGCTCACATGGACATTTAGAGGTCATGCAAAGAAAGGGTTATGTATGTTGTGTGTGTGGCAGAGAGAACATTGGCAAAGGGGATTTGTTTGTCCTAGCATGGCTGTACAATTACAAATACAAAGGTTTACCCATTTAGACTCCATGGCATGGAGAAAAAAACTCATTTTAAATGACTCTAAGGATATAACAAGTTTTAGAAAATTGAAAGATTGATGGATTTTTGCCCACATGCGGTAAACATCTTAATTGAATTTTCTATGTGCAACATGAGGACAATAACCACAAGTGTACTCACAGTACCTTTTTTCTCTGGCACTGAAGTTGCAAGGTTTCAGCATGTTGTCCCTCTCTAAACCTTTCTGTTCCCCATTCTTCTTTCTCCAATAAGTGGTGCATCATTATTTTTCTATTAAATATGACATTGGGGAATAAAACGCTGTTGTTTTGTTGATAGTTCCATCCATTTATACATACTTCATCCTCCTGTCACGGAGTTCAAGCACTTAGAGAGTTGGGCGGGGAGCAAATATTATGCTCGTCACAATCATGTAAGTATGTATTTGAAGACAAAAACAAATGTTTGCTTCAGCATGCAGACTGTGCCAAGTAAAGCCATATTCCTCCAGTCTCTGTATTAATGCTAGCGCTGGGTGACCACACACACACACACACACCAAATTTCAACTGATTGACAGCTTATTTTTGGTCAATTTCTACCTTTATCTTCACCTAAATGCATTTTCTTGAATTCTGGCGATCTCAAAAGTATCATCAAATGATTGGGCATCCCTAATTTAGTTGGATATGACACCTTAAATGTTTTTCTACAATGTTTGGTTCCAAAATTAAACGTGTTTGAACATTTGACCCGAGAGACTGGCGGCCATCTTGGATTTGACCTCTCACGGTCCTCACAGGTCAAATCTGACTTCCCTCCACATCTGAAAATAAACCTTATGGTATGCACTAACTATGTTAGAAATGTCATGCTTTTCTCATAAAATGCACAATTGTTGTGCTTATCCGCTGTACTATATGTTTCATCTTCACGTCAAATGCATATTTTCTACTTTTTAATTTCTATTTTGATATGTTTCAAATTTTTGAAATGTTTATTTCTACTCTTTTAATTTCTAATGATGTGCAATGCCTTGTTTTTTATGCTGCTGCAACGCAAACATTTCCCAATTTGGGATCAATAAAGTACATCTTATCTAATAGGAACCAAAAATACAGTTACGTTGAAGTTGCACTCAATTGCATTTTGATAAAGTGCCATTTTGAATACAACTTTTTTTTACAGGATTCCCTTCAACACATTAACTTCAATGAAAACATTTCTCTACTAAAATATTTTTTTATGGTGATTAATTGTCTCTTTGTTGTAATTTTCTGTCTCTTTGCAGCTGTTTTCCATCTAATTGTAGGACTCTTTAAAGTAAAGACACTACATACCGATATACACCTGAACATCAGCAGGAGAGGACTCTTTAAAGTAGAGACACTACATACTGATATACACCTGAACATCAGCAGGAGAGGACTCTTTAAAGTAAAGACACTACATACTGATATACACCTGAACATCAGCAGCAGAGGACTCTTTAAAGTAGAGACACTACATACTGATATACACCTGAACATCAGCAGGAGAGGACTCTTTAAAGTAGAGACACTACATACTGATATACACCTGAACATCAGCAGGAGAGGACTCTTTAAAGTAAAGACACTACATACTGATATACACCTGAACATCAGCAGGAGAGGACTCTTTAAAGTAGAGACACTACATACTGATATACTGTACACCTGGACATCAGCAGAAATGTAAAAAAAAATCTACTTTTGCTGGTGCTGTTGCATTTAAAATCAAATAGTTGACTAAAACAAACTTGAAAGAAATCAAATACATAGTGTTGTTTTTTAATTTGTTTATATTTATTATGATAATTGTTGAATGTAAACAAGGTAATAAAGTAAGTACTGAAGTAGCTTTAAGTCAGTGTATTGATCAGGGCAGAGCCAGGTGAGCTAAAGTCACTCAATACAAAGGTAACTAGACAAAAACAGGAGGAACAAACGAGAAAGAATTCTAGTGTTATTTTGAATTTGAATGTCTTTGTATTGATTGTTATTATTAGTTGAATTCTCAGACTAAATCTCTGGTGACTTGAAATTAAAAGCAAGAAGCTAAACTTAGACAGGAGAAACAAACGTGAAATAAATCAAACGTGTCAGTATTGTTATCATTATCATTATTATTTTTTTATTGATTGACAAGACTTTAACTTAACAAGAAAACAATGGACTAAACATAAATATAGAAATGTACTATTAAGTAAATATGAAAAATATAAGATACATATAAAAATTGACTATTAACTAAACATGATAAATATAACATAAATATAAAAATGAACTATTAAGTAAATATGAAAAATATAACTTAAATATGAAAATGAACACTATAAACCAAACATGACGATATAACATAAACCTGATAACTTGTAATGACTAAATGTTCCTCTTATTTAGGGGTGCTAGAAGCAAAGGAATAGTTTATTTATTTTAAAATTAAGGTTGTTTTTTTGCCCCTAGTGGCTAAAACTGCACATCACTGTGAGTCTCTTCTGGAACCTTTGTTGATGTCTAACCAGATCTAATAACTGTTAAGTGTTTAAATATATATCCTGACTGGCTGTGAGTATATGTTGTTGCTCACTCACTTTGAGCTTTAGACTGTACTTGAAATGTTTTAATGTCTTACTAATTTTTGATGTTGTGAGTTTGTTTTTTAAAGTTTTTAAAGCCGATGTCAGGGCTGCCTTTGAGTCTTATGTTTTCCTTTTTAGTCATCGTTGATGTTTGGGCGGATACAAGAAAAGGAATTGATGAATCTTCTCCACCGTGGTGTTGTCCTCCTCTGCGTTGTTGGGATCGGCTCATTGGTTTGCTCAGGTGGATCCACCCTCACTTCCTGTTCCACCTCCAACTCCACCTTTACCTCCACAAGCTCCTCCTTCACCACGGAGAGTGCCTGTGGTGGTTTTTTCAGCTGTTTCTTCAGCAAGGCGGCTATCTCTGCATCCTTTTCCTCCACACAGCGTTCCTTCTGTTGTTCCAGTTCCTGGTTTCTCTTTTGCAAGGCAGCCATCTCTGCATCCTTCTCCTCAACACAGGGTTCTTTCAGTTGTTTGAGATCCTGGTTTGCCTTTCTCAAGGTGGCCATCACTGCTTTGTCCTTCTCGTGCATCTTGAGGAGCTTTCCATATTTCATGTTCAGTTCCTCATTGTTTCCGCGCAAGACTTTCTGCTCAATTTCCAGGGCATTCATTTGCACATTGTGCCTCACTTCTGGTTCCATTTTCACCTCCACAACCTCTTTCTTGTCCACCTTCGCCTCCTCCACCACACAACGCTCCTTCTCTTGCTTCAGTGTTTGGTTTTCCTTCAGCAAAGCAGCTATCTCTGCATCTTTCTCCTCAACGCAACGCAACTTTTGTTGTTTGAGTTCCTGGTTTGTTGTTTGCAAGGCGGCCATCTTTGCCTCCTCCTTAACACAACGCTCCTTCAGTTGTGTGAGTTCCTGGTTTCTATCACGCAAATCAGCTATCTTTACAGCTTTGTCAACACAATGATCCTTTTGTTGTTGGAGTTCCTGGTTTCTCTCACGCAGAGCAGCTATCTCTACAGATTTCTCCTCAAGACAACGCTCCTTTTGTTGTTTGAGTTCTTGGTTAGTCTTTTGCAAGGCGGCCGTCTTTGCATCTTTCTCCTCAACACAACGCTCCTTCTCTTGTTTCAGTGTTTTGTTTTCCTTCAGCAAGGCAGCTATCTCTTTATCCTTCTCCTCCACACAACGCTGCTTCTGTTGTTGGAGTTCCTGATTTGTCTCACGCAAAGCAGCCATCTCTACATCTTGCTCCTCAACACAGGGTTCTTTCAGTTGTTTGAGTTCCTGGTTTGCCTTTCTCAAGGCAGCCATCTCGGCTTCGACCTCTTCCTGGGCTTTCACTTTCACATTGTGCTGAAACTGCAAAGCTGCTGTATATGCTTTGAGCATCGCTTCCTTCTTTTTAGCGCCTTCAATCTCAAACTTATCCCTTAAGGGAGTCCTCTCCTGCTCCAGCAACAACTCCATTTCCTGATTTTCTTTTTCCAGAATCTCGAGCCAGACTGCCAGCTCATCTCTATTGTTCATCTCCATCTCTACTGCTGTGACGAAATGACCTGTTGTTTAGCAAACTAAATGTAATTGTTCGACTGAATTAACGTCACAAAAATCCCACAAAAGTTGAGTTCACTTGTGAAGATTATCTCGCTAAAAAACACTGCAAGTATCCCTAATGTTTGCTTGCAACAAAACCTATTTCTGCAATGATCTGACACTAGCTGGACAAATTGCTTCTGTCTGCTGCTCTGCTGCTCTGGTGCTCTGATGAATTCTAGAAGATCAATGCAGAATTCAGAATTCTACATGAAAGCAAAAGATGATGTCATCATTCTGATGGTTCCATTCCAAATAACGAGTGAAGGACATCAGCTGACAGGAAGTAAGAATGGAACCATGCTGTTGCCTAGAAACGCAATTGTGTTTAGATAATATAAAGAAATGTAAACAATCGAAATGCTTTATTAATTCCAATGGGAAGTAAGCAACATGTTCTATTATGTTTCATCTTCACGTCAAATGCATATTTTCTACTTTTTAATTTCTATTTTGATATCTTTCAAATTTTTGAAATCTTTATTTCTACTCTTTTAATTTCTAATTATGTGCAATGCCTTGTTTTTTATGCTGCTGCAACGCAAACATTTCCCAATTTGGGATCAATAAAGTACATCTTATCTAATAGGAACCAAAAATACAGTTACGTTGAAGTTGCACTCAATTGCATTTTGATAAAGTGCCATTTTGAATACAACTTTTTTTTACAGGATTCCCTTCAACACATTAACTTCAATGAAAACATTTCTCTACTAAAATATTTTTTTATGGTGATTAATTGTCTCTTTGTTGTAATTTTCTGTCTCTTTGCAGCTGTTTTCCATCTAATTGTAGGACTCTTTAAAGTAAAGACACTACATACCGATATACACCTGAACATCAGCAGGAGAGGACTCTTTAAAGTAGAGACACTACATACTGATATACACCTGAACATCAGCAGGAGAGGACTCTTTAAAGTAAAGACACTACATACTGATATACACCTGAACATCAGCAGCAGAGGACTCTTTAAAGTAGAGACACTGCATACTGATATACACCTGAACATCAGCAGGAGAGGACTCTTTAAAGTAGAGACACTACATACTGATATACACCTGAACATCAGCAGGAGAGGACTCTTTAAAGTAAAGACACTACATACTGATATACACCTGAACATCAGCAGGAGAGGACTCTTTAAAGTAGAGACACTACATACTGATATACTGTACACCTGGACATCAGCAGAAATGTAAAAGAAAATCTACTTTTGCTGGTGCTGTTGCATTTAAAATCAAATAGTTGACTAAAACAAACTTGAAAGAAATCAAATACATAGTGTTGTTTTTTAATTTGTTTATATTTATTATGATAATTGTTGAATGTAAACAAGGTAATAAAGTAAGTACTGAAGTAGCTTTAAGTCAGTGTATTGATCAGGGCAGAGCCAGGTGAGCTAAAGTCACTCAATACAAAGGTAACTAGACAAAAACAGGAGGAACAAACGAGAAAGAATTCTAGTGTTATTTTGAATTTGAATGTCTTTGTATTGATTGTTATTATTAGTTGAATTCTCAGACTAAATCTCTGGTGACTTGAAATTAAAAGCAAGAAGCTAAACTTAGACAGGAGAAACAAACGTGAAATAAATCAAACGTGTCAGTATTGTTATCATTATCATTATTATTTTTTTATTGATTGACAAGACTTTAACTTAACAAGAAAACAATGGACTAAACATAAATATAGAAATGTACTATTAAGTAAATATGAAAAATATAAGATACATATAAAAATTGACTATTAACTAAACATGATAAATATAACATAAATATAAAAATGAACTATTAAGTAAATATGAAAAATATAACTTAAATATGAAAATGAACACTATAAACCAAACATGACGATATAACATAAACCTGATAACTTGTAATGACTAAATGTTCCTCTTATTTAGGGGTGCTAGAAGCAAAGGAATAGTTTATTTATTTTAAAATTAAGGTTGTTTTTTTGCCCCTAGTGGCTAAAACTGCACATCACTGTGAGTCTCTTCTGGAACCTTTGTTGATGTCTAACCAGATCTAATAACTGTTAAGTGTTTAAATATATATCCTGACTGGCTGTGAGTATATGTTGTTGCTCACTCACTTTGAGCTTTAGACTGTACTTGAAATGTTTTAATGTCTTACTAATTTTTGATGTTGTGAGTTTGTTTTTTTAAAGTTTTTAAAGCCGATGTCAGGGCTGCCTTTGAGTCTTATGTTTTCCTTTTTAGTCATCGTTGATGTTTGGGCGGATACAAGAAAAGGAATTGATGAATCTTCTCCACCGTGGTGTTGTCCTCCTCTGCGTTGTTGGGATCGGCTCATTGGTTTGCTCAGGTGGATCCACCCTCACTTCCTGTTCCACCTCCAACTCCACCTTTACCTCCACAAGCTCCTCCTTCACCACGGAGAGTGCCTGTGGTGGTTTTTTCAGCTGTTTCTTCAGCAAGGCGGCTATCTCTGCATCCTTTTCCTCCACACAGCGTTCCTTCTGTTGTTCCAGTTCCTGGTTTCTCTTTTGCAAGGCAGCCATCTCTGCATCCTTCTCCTCAACACAGGGTTCTTTCAGTTGTTTGAGATCCTGGTTTGCCTTTCTCAAGGTGGCCATCACTGCTTTGTCCTTCTCGTGCATCTTGAGGAGCTTTCCATATTTCATGTTCAGTTCCTCATTGTTTCCGCGCAAGACTTTCTGCTCAATTTCCAGGGCATTCATTTGCACATTGTGCCTCACTTCTGGTTCCACTTTCACCTCCACAACCTCTTTCTTGTCCACCTTCGCCTCCTCCACCACACAACGCTCCTTCTCTTGCTTCAGTGTTTGGTTTTCCTTCAGCAAAGCAGCTATCTCTGCATCTTTCTCCTCAACGCAACGCAACTTTTGTTGTTTGAGTTCCTGGTTTGTTGTTTGCAAGGCGGCCATCTTTGCCTCCTCCTTAACACAACGCTCCTTCAGTTGTGTGAGTTCCTGGTTTCTATCACGCAAATCAGCTATCTTTACAGCTTTGTCAACACAATGATCCTTTTGTTGTTGGAGTTCCTGGTTTCTCTCACGCAGAGCAGCTATCTCTACAGATTTCTCCTCAAGACAACGCTCCTTTTGTTGTTTGAGTTCTTGGTTAGTCTTTTGCAAGGCGGCCGTCTTTGCATCTTTCTCCTCAACACAACGCTCCTTCTCTTGTTTCAGTGTTTTGTTTTCCTTCAGCAAGGCAGCTATCTCTTTATCCTTCTCCTCCACACAACGCTGCTTCTGTTGTTGGAGTTCCTGATTTGTCTCACGCAAAGCAGCCATCTCTACATCTTGCTCCTCAACACAGGGTTCTTTCAGTTGTTTGAGTTCCTGGTTTGCCTTTCTCAAGGCAGCCATCTCGGCTTCGACCTCTTCCTGGGCTTTCACTTTCACATTGTGCTGAAACTGCAAAGCTGCTGTATATGCTTTGAGCATCGCTTCCTTCTTTTTAGCGCCTTCAATCTCAAACTTATCCCTTAAGGGAGTCCTCTCCTGCTCCAGCAACAACTCCATTTCCTGATTTTCTTTTTCCAGAATCTCGAGCCAGACTGCCAGCTCATCTCTATTGTTCATCTCCATCTCTACTGCTGTGACGAAATGACCTGTTGTTTAGCAAACTAAATGTAATTGTTCGACTGAATTAACGTCACAAAAATCCCACAAAAGTTGAGTTCACTTGTGAAGATTATCTCGCTAAAAAACACTGCAAGTATCCCTAATGTTTGCTTGCAACAAAACCTATTTCTGCAATGATCTGACACTAGCTGGACAAATTGCTTCTGTCTGCTGCTCTGCTGCTCTGGTGCTCTGATGAATTCTAGAAGATCAATGCAGAATTCAGAATTCTACATGAAAGCAAAAGATGATGTCATCATTCTGATGGTTCCATTCCAAATAACGAGTGAAGGACATCAGCTGACAGGAAGTAAGAATGGAACCATGCTGTTGCCTAGAAACGCAATTGTGTTTAGATAATATAAAGAAATGTAAACAATCGAAATGCTTTATTAATTCCAATGGGAAGTAAGCAACATGTTCTATTATGTTTCATCTTCACGTCAAATGCATATTTTCTACTTTTTAATTTCTATTTTGATATCTTTCAAATTTTTGAAATCTTTATTTCTACTCTTTTAATTTCTAATTATGTGCAATGCCTTGTTTTTTATGCTGCTGCAACGCAAACATTTCCCAATTTGGGATCAATAAAGTACATCTTATCTAATAGGAACCAAAATACAGTTACGTTGAAGTTGCACTCAATTGCATTTTGATAAAGTGCCATTTTGAATACAACTTTTTTTTACAGGATTCCCTTCAACACATTAACTTCAATGAAAACATTTCTCTACTAAAATATTTTTTTATGGTGATTAATTGTCTCTTTGTTGTAATTTTCTGTCTCTTTGCAGCTGTTTTCCATCTAATTGTAGGACTCTTTAAAGTAAAGACACTACATACCGATATACACCTGAACATCAGCAGGAGAGGACTCTTTAAAGTAGAGACACTACATACTGATATACACCTGAACATCAGCAGGAGAGGACTCTTTAAAGTAAAGACACTACATACTGATATACACCTGAACATCAGCAGCAGAGGACTCTTTAAAGTAGAGACACTGCATACTGATATACACCTGAACATCAGCAGGAGAGGACTCTTTAAAGTAGAGACACTACATACTGATATACACCTGAACATCAGCAGGAGAGGACTCTTTAAAGTAAAGACACTACATACTGATATACACCTGAACATCAGCAGGAGAGGACTCTTTAAAGTAGAGACACTACATACTGATATACTGTACACCTGGACATCAGCAGAAATGTAAAAAAAAATCTACTTTTGCTGGTGCTGTTGCATTTAAAATCAAATAGTTGACTAAAACAAACTTGAAAGAAATCAAATACATAGTGTTGTTTTTTAATTTGTTTATATTTATTATGATAATTGTTGAATGTAAACAAGGTAATAAAGTAAGTACTGAAGTAGCTTTAAGTCAGTGTATTGATCAGGGCAGAGCCAGGTGAGCTAAAGTCACTCAATACAAAGGTAACTAGACAAAAACAGGAGGAACAAACGAGAAAGAATTCTAGTGTTATTTTGAATTTGAATGTCTTTGTATTGATTGTTATTATTAGTTGAATTCTCAGACTAAATCTCTGGTGACTTGAAATTAAAAGCAAGAAGCTAAACTTAGACAGGAGAAACAAACGTGAAATAAATCAAACGTGTCAGTATTGTTATCATTATCATTATTATTTTTTTATTGATTGACAAGACTTTAACTTAACAAGAAAACAATGGACTAAACATAAATATAGAAATGTACTATTAAGTAAATATGAAAAATATAAGATACATATAAAAATTGACTATTAACTAAACATGATAAATATAACATAAATATAAAAATGAACTATTAAGTAAATATGAAAAATATAACTTAAATATGAAAATGAACACTATAAACCAAACATGACGATATAACATAAACCTGATAACTTGTAATGACTAAATGTTCCTCTTATTTAGGGGTGCTAGAAGCAAAGGAATAGTTTATTTATTTTAAAATTAAGGTTGTTTTTTTGCCCCTAGTGGCTAAAACTGCACATCACTGTGAGTCTCTTCTGGAACCTTTGTTGATGTCTAACCAGATCTAATAACTGTTAAGTGTTTAAATATATATCCTGACTGGCTGTGAGTATATGTTGTTGCTCACTCACTTTGAGCTTTAGACTGTACTTGAAATGTTTTAATGTCTTACTAATTTTTGATGTTGTGAGTTTGTTTTTTAAAGTTTTTAAAGCCGATGTCAGGGCTGCCTTTGAGTCTTATGTTTTCCTTTTTAGTCATCGTTGATGTTTGGGCGGATACAAGAAAAGGAATTGATGAATCTTCTCCACCGTGGTGTTGTCCTCCTCTGCGTTGTTGGGATCGGCTCATTGGTTTGCTCAGGTGGATCCACCCTCACTTCCTGTTCCACCTCCAACTCCACCTTTACCTCCACAAGCTCCTCCTTCACCACGGAGAGTGCCTGTGGTGGTTTTTTCAGCTGTTTCTTCAGCAAGGCGGCTATCTCTGCATCCTTTTCCTCCACACAGCGTTCCTTCTGTTGTTCCAGTTCCTGGTTTCTCTTTTGCAAGGCAGCCATCTCTGCATCCTTCTCCTCAACACAGGGTTCTTTCAGTTGTTTGAGATCCTGGTTTGCCTTTCTCAAGGTGGCCATCACTGCTTTGTCCTTCTCGTGCATCTTGAGGAGCTTTCCATATTTCATGTTCAGTTCCTCATTGTTTCCGCGCAAGACTTTCTGCTCAATTTCCAGGGCATTCATTTGCACATTGTGCCTCACTTCTGGTTCCACTTTCACCTCCACAACCTCTTTCTTGTCCACCTTCACCTCCTCCACCACACAACGCTCCTTCTCTTGCTTCAGTGTTTGGTTTTCCTTCAGCAAAGCAGCTATCTCTGCATCTTTCTCCTCAACGCAACGCAACTTTTGTTGTTTGAGTTCCTGGTTTGTTGTTTGCAAGGCGGCCATCTTTGCCTCCTCCTTAACACAACGCTCCTTCAGTTGTGTGAGTTCCTGGTTTCTATCACGCAAATCAGCTATCTTTACAGCTTTGTCAACACAATGATCCTTTTGTTGTTGGAGTTCCTGGTTTCTCTCACGCAGAGCAGCTATCTCTACAGATTTCTCCTCAAGACAACGCTCCTTTTGTTGTTTGAGTTCTTGGTTAGTCTTTTGCAAGGCGGCCGTCTTTGCATCTTTCTCCTCAACACAACGCTCCTTCTCTTGTTTCAGTGTTTTGTTTTCCTTCAGCAAGGCAGCTATCTCTTTATCCTTCTCCTCCACACAACGCTGCTTCTGTTGTTGGAGTTCCTGATTTGTCTCACGCAAAGCAGCCATCTCTACATCTTGCTCCTCAACACAGGGTTCTTTCAGTTGTTTGAGTTCCTGGTTTGCCTTTCTCAAGGCAGCCATCTCGGCTTCGACCTCTTCCTGGGCTTTCACTTTCACATTGTGCTGAAACTGCAAAGCTGCTGTATATGCTTTGAGCATCGCTTCCTTCTTTTTAGCGCCTTCAATCTCAAACTTATCCCTTAAGGGAGTCCTCTCCTGCTCCAGCAACAACTCCATTTCCTGATTTTCTTTTTCCAGAATCTCGAGCCAGACTGCCAGCTCATCTCTATTGTTCATCTCCATCTCTACTGCTGTGACGAAATGACCTGTTGTTTAGCAAACTAAATGTAATTGTTCGACTGAATTAACGTCACAAAAATCCCACAAAAGTTGAGTTCACTTGTGAAGATTATCTCGCTAAAAAACACTGCAAGTATCCCTAATGTTTGCTTGCAACAAAACCTATTTCTGCAATGATCTGACACTAGCTGGACAAATTGCTTCTGTCTGCTGCTCTGCTGCTCTGGTGCTCTGATGAATTCTAGAAGATCAATGCAGAATTCAGAATTCTACATGAAAGCAAAAGATGATGTCATCATTCTGATGGTTCCATTCCAAATAACGAGTGAAGGACATCAGCTGACAGGAAGTAAGAATGGAACCATGCTGTTGCCTAGAAACGCAATTGTGTTTAGATAATATAAAGAAATGTAAACAATCGAAATGCTTTATTAATTCCAATGGGAAGTAAGCAACATGTTCTATTATGTTTCATCTTCACGTCAAATGCATATTTTCTACTTTTTAATTTCTATTTTGATATCTTTCAAATTTTTGAAATCTTTATTTCTACTCTTTTAATTTCTAATTATGTGCAATGCCTTGTTTTTTATGCTGCTGCAACGCAAACATTTCCCAATTTGGGATCAATAAAGTACATCTTATCTAATAGGAACCAAAAATACAGTTACGTTGAAGTTGCACTCAATTGCATTTTGATAAAGTGCCATTTTGAATACAACTTTTTTTTACAGGATTCCCTTCAACACATTAACTTCAATGAAAACATTTCTCTACTAAAATATTTTTTTATGGTGATTAATTGTCTCTTTGTTGTAATTTTCTGTCTCTTTGCAGCTGTTTTCCATCTAATTGTAGGACTCTTTAAAGTAAAGACACTACATACCGATATACACCTGAACATCAGCAGGAGAGGACTCTTTAAAGTAGAGACACTACATACTGATATACACCTGAACATCAGCAGGAGAGGACTCTTTAAAGTAAAGACACTACATACTGATATACACCTGAACATCAGCAGCAGAGGACTCTTTAAAGTAGAGACACTACATACTGATATACACCTGAACATCAGCAGGAGAGGACTCTTTAAAGTAGAGACACTACATACTGATATACACCTGAACATCAGCAGGAGAGGACTCTTTAAAGTAAAGACACTACATACTGATATACACCTGAACATCAGCAGGAGAGGACTCTTTA